TGGCATCATAGCTGCAGTGGGCACCGAGCTATACACTTAAATACACACACATACACATGCAAGTGTTGATAGATAAAAACCACACTGTGGATCATACCATACTGCTGTGGGTAAACTGGTGATTACCACTATTATCAATCATCCTCTGTGATCCAGTCACAGTGTGCCAACTGGGATTAAGCATCTGACTTCTGACTGATTAGTGCGAGAGGTTTCAATCTGCCAAGAACTAAGGCACATCAGACCATTATTCTACATCTTCACTTGCATGTAGATGATTTCTACTGACTACAATGATTACATAACATGAAATATGAACATCTTTTTCCTTCTTTTGGCAGCGTATGCTGCATGCAAGGGTGTGATTGTCTATAGGAATATTTTTAACCACAAAATGTGCATTTGTGCACACATGAATCAGAACACCTACATATCCACTTATTGTGGATATGTAGGTGTAGTATGCATCTATATCTTTCTGGCTCGGTGTACGTGCAGAAGATTGTGCTGATTACAATGAATGCGCTCTAATACATTTGTCCCACTGTGTGTGCGTGCCAATTTGCACGAACGTGTGTGTGTGGGAGTTCAGGACAGGAAATGTAAAGGTTGAGGTAGTTCCTTGGAAACAAAGGCTCCGGCATCTCCACATGAGCCCTTTCCTTTCATAGGCGCCCGAGGCTCCTGTCCACATCACTGTAACGCTTGAGAGGGAACATCCTGGAGCTGCCACCCCCACCTTCCCCTTCACCTTCTACAGATGGCCTGACCTATAGTGCATGACAGTCATGCAAAATGTTAGCTTTACAAAAATGCACAAAAACAGCTTTCGGAATAAAACTCTATCAGACTATCAGACTGGCTGCCTTGTTTCTGAACAAGAGACAATGATAAGAAATGCTGGCCGCGATCTGGTTTTCCTCAGCTGTCACTGCAAGAGAACCCACGATTCCCCAGTGTCTCACCGACCTCATCGACTTCACAAACCCTTCACTGCTCTCTTACAATCTTATCTCTCTAGGCTTCACCTTACAATCTGTGTCATCATGTTCCCTCCCTTTCTCCTTCTCCATCTTTCATCTCTCCACTATTTCCATGCTCTTGCTCTGTTTTACTGCCCCAATTGAAAATTGAGTCATAACTTCCTGACGGCACTGTTCAAAGGTCACCCCCCCACCCCCACCCCCCACCCCCCTTCCCCGTCTCTCTGCGTTCCCCGCCCCCTTCCCTCCTCTCCCTTTTGGGAGGCCCCTCATCCAACACGCCTAGTGCTGCATTCCACAGACAGTGGGAGCACTTTCAAACGCTGCACAAGCATAGCAGACCACCACTCGCAGCGGCACGCAGGGCGACTGAGCCGCGGCCTCAGCTGCCACTAGGCCTCAGCACTAGGCTCAAGCCCTGCCAAGGAAAGCTTTGACTGGGGAGAAATTGCAATGTAGCAGCAACAGAGTCTGTGTGATGACAAGAAGAAAGCAACTGCGGCTCTCAAGAAGCGGAGTGATAACTGTTCAGTATTAGCCACCTCCAAGCTGCTGAAACCAGCTTCAAGTAAAACCATCGTGCCAGAGTGGGGCCTCTCATGTCTGTGCTGAGAGGCTGGCAGCTGTGATAGTGGGGCGCAGGCCTCAGAGCACCTTTTCGTCTGACCCCCAAATCCTTGAGGTCTCTCCTACACTGACATACAGCTCCAGTTTCAGCCTCCCAAGGCTCCCTATGTGTTTGGCTCTCAAAACATTAATGTGTTTGTACATGGTCACATACCACAACACAGCAAATGCACAATGCTGTAACGAACAATCAATTAATCCATTACTTAATCAGCACCAATTTAATGGGTGCCAGTCTGAACTATTTCCCTTGTATATTTCCTTCAGCAAAGAACATGAACCATTTCGTAATTTGGAAAAACACGACAGTACTGTATTGGAAAATATTTACATTTGTTTAAAAACGACCAGAAATGTTTAAATTTACATCTGACTATAATGTACACTACTTTGCCAATAAGCTATATTCACTGGAAGCGTATGTTTTACAATAAAGCATAACACACACACAAAAAACACACACATAAACATATATGTGCACACACATATACACATGTACACGCACACACACACATATATATATATATAACATTTTTTTGTAATTTAAATTAGTCTTGGAAGTCAATGAGGCACTAAATGCTTAAATTGCATTTTACATTAAATCATTCAGACATAATATTGTAGAGTATACTGCAATAAATTTGGCAAAAATAGTTGTACTGTGGTACTTAAACATCTGCACATGTCTGGTTTAACTAACAGTCAACAGCTGTATTGACAGGAATGCTTGGTATCAAACCTGTATCAGAGGCACAAGGACACCCTCTCCTCAGCTCCCTGCCAAACCTGCGTTGCTGTGTGTTATCTGGGATTGGGTCAGTGGCTGCGTTGCATTGCACTGGACAGCTGTTGTTTCTCACCTGAAACAAAGTCAAGACAGTATTTTTACAAAATGAAATTATAGGCAAAAAAGTCAAGATAGCAGTGCAGGTCACAGGTAATGATTACAATAATGAACTTTACATAGCACCGTTCTAAACAATATTAAAAAGGTGCTTTACAGAGGAAAGCAAAAACTGAAACAAAACCACATCAACTTAAAAAAAGGATCCAGCAATTTAAAAACTAAATATGCCCCAAATATGAATAAAAATGAATAGGACTGACAAAAAATAAACAAATAAAACAACCAGGAAAGACTAGAGAATGACATAAAACAAAGAGCAGCTAGGAAACTTAAACTATCATAAAACATAATTAGAAGCTTTTTCAAACAGATATATTTTAACAAGTGATTTTAAAGATGTTACTGATTGTGCAAGACTCAGATCCTCAGGTAGGGAGATCCAAAGCTGAAGGGCCCTGACAGAAAAAGCCTTTAGTCCTTTAGTCTTGAGCCTTGAGATGAGCTAAAACGGTATTGCTGTCTCAGTATTATGTAGGATGGCATATGTGTGCAAACAAAAAACATGCATTTCCACCAATAGGATGGCCATTAAGGACATTAACATAATTGTCATATATAGTATAAATCAGCTACATTCCCTCCTGAGTCCGCAAGTATAGTATATACCTATGAGTGCATGTTTGTGAAAAGAATTAAAAGCACATTTTGGTTACAGAAATGATGTTATATCAATTAAGCAAGTATGAGCAATATCTTTACACATTTTTAAAAATCTCTTGCTTATAGAATAGGGTGCAGCATCACAATTTCAAGGGTCCTGAAATTTCACCACAGAGTAATGACATGTGCTGTTGTAATTAAGGTCTAACACACCAATTGAAGGCATCTGGTTTAGGAAATCTGAGGAAACTCCATCCTACAGCAGTGCTATTTTCATGTGTGTGAACAGAGACAGGTATGTCTCTCCTTTTGGTTGGCCTCCATTGTTAGTCTCCAGTCGTGCCTGGGTGCTGTGATTATCAATGCACACATCTGGATGGACTTAGTCAAGGAATCCTATAAAGAACCTAATGGGCTCTTCTAACATTTTTTGAAGACTGATTAAAAGCCGTTTCAGATCTTGTTCACATCAATGAATTCCATCTGTGATTTATTTAAGTTTTCAATGAATTACTGAATACTGAAATCTACTTTACTTGCTCCCTATCAATGCAATAGGGGTTTGAGGAACTTAAGGGGGGGGAGTGGCATGCTCTGTAGGTAATGTGCCAGACTGCACAATATTTGATTATGGGGCAGGTCAGATACCTGGATAAACACAGAGGGCTGCTCAGTCACTGACAAACTAAGCACATGAGGAAATCCTGGGTGTTTCTGTACCATGAAAATGATCCCTTTTCCCTTGACATGCATTAAAATTCTTACAGCTCCCACAGACACTGTCACAAATCTGGTTTTCCAACAAATTTCCTCTCAAAGCATATTTGCAAACTTGTTTTTTAAGTGTTACTCACCTTAAGTCTTGCTAACCAAAAAATAAAACCAATTTTGGAGTTATGCCAGCATGAAAGACAAATTCACACTTTGCGCATTAGCTCAGTTACACCGGGCACACAGTCTGGTGAAGTAGCAAACATACCTAAGTTTTAAGGCCTATTTGCCTTCCAATAGTGTGACCCTTATGTTTTACGAGGGAGACTAACACCATGAACTACATTTGTTACAAATTAGGCTTCCTACTGCCGTAAAGTTGGCACCTGCCACTTCAAACCTTTCTTTGGAAAGGAGGACGGACATTGATAACCGACTAGAGGGGAATTAATACACGTTTATTAGCTAAGTTAGCTAACTCATGCACACCTGGTCAAACTGCTGACAACTGGGTAAAGTAGTCGTATCAAAGAACTGCTGTGGTTTGTTAGCCAAATTTAATTTAACCATTGATTTAAAGTAAACTGGCGTACATTATAAACAGTGCCCGGTTTTCTTACCGTCCAAAATCCCATTTTGTTGAAAGGATGGTCAAACAATCTAATTTTCACCTTAAATGGTAAGGGGGGCAATAACCATCATTTAACCACATGATGTCGCCAGAGTCGGAGGTCCTTGAATGTTAATGCTGCCTTTACGTACTCCACGTTAGATCCTATTTTTGATGTAGAAACGTAGAAGTGCGATTTATTCTTTGACTAAATCGACTGTACTTAATTAGCAAAATGGTCTGTGGAACAAAAGTAGGATAAATATGTGTTTATTCTGAGATTCATGCAGCAATTTTAATTAATTTTCTTTCAAATGACTTTTGTGGCAACAGGTTTTTAAAAACTTTGGGACCTTTTAACAAAAAAAAATGTTTCATAGTCAGACGTTTGCATTTATGCTTGCTGATCAAGTGAATCAGTGTAGCTAGTATACCTCTGACAGTCCTATTTCACACCAGTGTCACACATAGTTCGATCCCCACGAACTAAATTCAAAATTTCCGACAGCTGTGGAGGCTACACTAAACCCCCGGATATGACCGCATAAGCACAGGAACCAAACTTTAGCTCGTAGCTCTAACTGTAGCACAACAGCTAAGTCCAAAATAAAAGCTTTCGGGGGGCACGTTATCTAGTGTATTACCGCTTTCGACGTCGATATGGAGCACTAGGCAGGATTTATAAACAGAGGTAACAGTCAAACTGGGCTTTACTCTTGCGGGTGTGGAGATTAACTGTCATTTTGGAGTACCGCTATTCAGCCAAATTGTTTTTTTCCTTAGCATCTAGCTAGCAGTAACAACAGTCTGATCACCAGTTTTTAAAACTGACGCAGTATTACTGTGAAAAATTAACGTCGATCTGTTCTAACTGGATGTGATAAATTCACTACGGTTCTTTTCAATACTTACAGCGACTTGTAGCTGACAATCAGATTTGGTGCCTTGTCATATTGTTAACAGAAATATAGAAAACGTTGCAGTGTTGTTTATAGGGGAAACAAAGTCCAACATAACACTGTATGACTGACTACTGGTGCATGTTTGACTACCTTTCAGTGCTGAGGAATGGTCTGACTGCAGCAGCACCAGTAAAGATGCACAGCCGTCTGCAGGAGCTGAAGAAAGAAGAGGAGACTCTCCTCAAAATTAAAGTGATGCTACAAGACCAACTGAACAGGTTGAAGGTGAGTGAGGGTTCAGAATAGGACTGCGTTTGTGTACATGTTTGTGATACCTGTGATGTATATATATATTCTGTGATCCCTTTGTGTTTCAGTTTGAAGAAGGGGCCTTGAAATCTATCATTAATGCTCAAACAGAAGAAGGAGCCTCTCAGCGCTTATCCCCTGAAACTGAGGTAAATGACTATACCAGAGAGAACATCAGGGAACAACTCTTGGTAGCTCACAGTCTGTCTTATTAAGATAGCAATAGCTTTGCTTGTATTTGTCGATTATATCACACTGAAGTTGGTTTGTTAATCGTATTCATTTTTGAATAATCAGATATTTCCACTACCACTATACTACATTTCTGTACTATCTGGCAGGGGATGTTACAGTTTGCAGGTCTGGATATGCTCAATGATTACATTCACACTAAAACCAGGTTACTCAGGCCACTAAGGTTGAGACAGGAAATCAGTTAACATTTTTGTTTGTGTTTCACTAATGTCATTACTCTAAAACCTCTGTCTACGTACTTTGCAAATAATATTTACATTCAACATATATTTACCTTCAGTCAAGTAGTGATGATGATTATCTAGCAGAAATGTTGCTGAGTCAGGATATTTTTATTATATTCTTAACTTAAACTAATATTTTATGAAGGTGGTCTCCTGTCCTCATTAGTGCTTTTCAAATTCTGTCTTACTTAATTAGATTTTGCTCATTAAGATTTTATTTAAAAGTGTTCAACAGGTATGTTTATTATTTAATGTCATTGTTTCAGGTTCATATTAACCTTGACGATGAGAGTGAGATCAATCAAACCAAACTGCTACTGAATGCCGCTGTAGATTATGATATGGAGGAGGAGGAGGACGATGATGACGAAGAGGAAGAGGAAGACGATGATGAGGAAGATGACGATGAACTTGGATTTGTGCCTGAGGAGGATGAGGAGGAAGATGATTACTGAAATTCTCAGTGTTTCATGGGGCTTCTATGTTTGCACCACTGAAGAAGAACCACGTGTAAACGGACAGCTGTTTATTTCTTCACCTGTTTTGTACTATCACTTATGAAGTTTAATTTATTTAGATGGAGTGAGTAGCAGTTATAGTGTAATGATGTGTGGTGCTAACAGTATCCTCTCCTTTGCCTGATTTAAGGCATGTCATCAGGATTTCAACTATGTTAGAATTTGTGTGTCAAACCCTGTGAGAAATGTCTCACTGAAATGCAGTAAGACAGTGTTATTAGGTGCTTCTAGCTTACTAGATATATTGTGCATTTTGGAGATAAGAAACTGAGCAGCAGTTCACTTGAGAATCAGATTTTGAGATGTGTCCGATAGTATGAAAATGTATGGCTGGGCCATATAAGAATATAGTGTGTATGCACTATGTAAGAGCTGATAATTGTAAGCACAAAATAAAATGTTTTGCATAGGGTTCACCTGACTGATTTTTACAGTTTACACTTATGTGTGGATAAAGAGATAACCTCCAAGAAAGTTACAATTATCCCTAATAACAAATTGTGGGTAATGAAGGAAAGAAAAAAGTATTTTCTTTGTGCAACACTTGAAAAAAGAAAAGAGGTTAATAAAGAGGTCAAGCGAGCAGAGACAGGCAGTATAAGGCTGTAGATAAAATTGTAGATAAATTTAATCATGGTGACATGCGTGAGCTGGAGAAATTCATCCATGCAGAGAATATCAAGTCACCTAGGCAGTCACAGCAAGTTTCCACTGAGTCTTGATAACCATTTTTTAAAGGGATCAAAGTGAATAAAACTAAGGGACCAAATGACCAAATTTGTGGAAGAACATTAACATACTGTGCTAATGAACTGAGTAATGTTGGCTATTTTAAAGATTATTCCAGCTCTTCTTAGAATCCGGGATTGTTCCTGATGTCTGAATTCTAACATCATTCCAGTCCCAGAGACCAGTAGCCCTAAAACCCTGTGACATGCGGACTAAAGCATTAACATCACTAGTAATGAAAACTATTAAATCAGAAGAGAGGTGTTGATGCAAAGTTATTTATTTTGAGCACTGTACATGAAAACACCTGAATGCAAAGTTTCTTTTTGATGACTTCTCTTCAGTCTTTAATACAGTGCTATCATCAACTCATCAGATGAATTATCCGTTTTGTCTCTAACAGACCTTAGACAATAGTTGTCAGTGGTCAAGCATCTGAATCAGTTTGTACTTCCAGTGACTCCACACAGATATTTATTCATCGTGTATACAGATGCTTGTCTAAGTAAATGTAATGTAAATCACCATAAAGTACTTATGTCTCAGTCAGTTAGAGCAATCACATGGACCCATGATGTAATAATCTGTAGACATGGTGCGACAGGTCTAGATTTCAATGTATCCAGAACTAAAGAAATGATAATCTCACCAAAACACAGACAATCTGCCAACAGTCGTTCATGTTCTAAGTGTTCAAATCATCCAGACCTACAAATACTTGGTAACATTTTTGATGACAGATTTAGATTTAGTGAAGACTAAGTAGATTTAGTGAAGAACCAATTACAAGATTGCCAAAATACAAAGATCCCTTGCACAGCTATACTTAATTTTGTTTGAAAACTTGCTTGCCTTAAATTTCCCCTTGAGGGACAAATAAAGAATTTTGAAATGAAATTCTAGTTTTACACCAACATGCTTCCCAACATACAGTAGTGTTTTTCAGATGTAATGAGTGTTTACAGGCAATAAGAGGATAAATCTTGTTTCTCAATTAAGGTAAATTGTTAAATTGTCCTGACCTGACCCAGGCGAATGGGTTATGCAGTGCAAACACTTTCCACTCGCAAACCATTCAGCATTTTCTAAACATCTAAAACAATACAGTGATTCTCACAATGAGGCCAGCTTTCACACTGACAGCAGGGACAGCTCTGGAGAAGGGTGGTGCTCCAACAGGCAACGTACAATAGAGACTCCACCAATAGATATATACAGCTTTCTACATGGTCTGCCGTGCCAGGAGAGCTCCCATTCACCCAAGGCTCAGCATACACCTGCTGCAAATGAATTCTTCATAAGGTACGCTGCCAGTTGGGCATCTTATTCTGTACATTTGCTATTGTGAATCAAATTTTATTGATTGATGGTATGGGATTTATTTTTCAATAGTGATAAAAAAAATATTTGCAAGAAGAATAATACAGAAACAAAACTGCAAATGTAAGAAAATGATCCGGGAAAAAAACAAAGGTAAACATGAGCAGGAATTTATATTGTTCATTTAAGGCACATTTGATTTATTTTCATTGTTTATATGTCTGAGCTTTTATCATATTTCTGATTCAGTTTTGCATGATAAATCCTTTGCATCACACCAATTTCCAGGCTTATTAGACGATTAGGCTAAAATGTAATGTGATGCTCCTGGAAAACTGGACTGGAAATTATTTACAAAGAGAATTCTGTTTATTCTCTGAGAGCTGTGAGCATTCAAACCTGTAGATTAACCATGACAACAACAAATAGCATTAATCTTTAATTTCTCAAATAATGGGGTTATGATGTATTCCAGTTCACATTTAGTGTATTTGTGTGGAAAGGTTCATCCATTGTTATGTGATCGTGCACCATAAATATATCAACCTCTCTAACATCAGCTTTGCTTACAGAGGTGAAACCATGGTTTGTATGGGATCTGTCTGCCTCAGCAAGATGAGCTTACACTCCATTGAGTTTGAATAGAGGTATTTGGCTCTGCATTAGGGATGTGGGACCCCCACAGTGCATTACATTGGATGCTTCCAGAGTGTTTACTGTGATTATATTAAGATTTCAAATAAATAAAATAAAATAAATTTTCAGAAAATGGGTTGTAAGCATGTGTGTATTTGTAGTCTGGTTACAACAACCTGTTTGCTCCAGATCAACCTGATTATTGTGACTAAGTGTTAAGATGCTGAATGGCTCTTGTCTGTGTGCAGACGTCAGTGAGGGACTGGAGCAGAACCAGACAGTGACTGAGCTGCAGGTTCAGGAGTACCATGATGCCCCGCTGTGCATTCAGTGTGTGCCATGTGTTTATGTTGGTGCTGTGTCTGTCTGCGGCTGAGGACTTCGACTGGACAAAGAACGACCACGGCTCCTTCTATTATGGCACTTTTCCAGCTGGTACGCGCAACTTGTTCTTTTATGCAGAGGGGTAGATGCAGCACATTTGAACTATTTTCATTAGGAGCTGGACAGAGTTTAATGGTTGTTGCCAATGTTGTATTTATTAGGATTTTCGTGGGGTGCCGGCAGTTCAGCCTATCAAACAGAAGGAGCCTGGGACAAAGATGGAAAAGGACTGAGCATCTGGGACGTGTTCAGCCATAAGAAAGGCAAAATCCAACAAAATGACACTGGGGATTCCTCCTGTGAGGGCTACTACAGAGTCAAGGTGGGGTGATCAGGTGTGGTGTGTCTGAGAGATATGGAGAAAACAGCAAGGTGAAATCTAAATATTTCACTCCATTGTCTGTGTGTGTGTGTGTGTGTGTGTGTTGCACAGGATGATGTTTCTTTGATGAAGGAGCTGAAGCTCAACCACTATCGCTTCTCCATCTCCTGGCCCAGACTCATCCCCACTGGCATAAAGTGTGAGTAACTGCTGTTGAATTTTGAAACTCAGCAGTAACACACACACATATGAGTCCATTAACTAATTGCTAAATCTGAATTTTATCTACATTTTATCACCATTTTCAGCTGACCATATAAATGAAAAAGGAATACAGTACTATGATGAACTGATTGACCATCTGCTGGAGAATAAGATCACGCCCATCGTCACTCTGTATCACTGGGATCTTCCCCAGGTTGGTCCAAAATACTGATGATCCCCACCTTTACCTGCAGTGTGTTTGCGTTACAGTACTGCCCTTCCTACCTAGAGTTATTTAACTCTCTGCTTTTCTAGGTTTTACAAGAAAAATATGGCGGATGGCAGAATATAAGCATGGTCAACCATTTCAATGAATTTGCCAACCTGTGCTTTGAAAGATTTGGTAACCGAATCAAGTATTGGATCACCTTCAACAATCCATGGGTAGGTTCAAAATAAACACCCATCTTCTAACATGTGAATTTACTTTTTTTTCCCTTTTTTTTTTTTTTTTTACCACAGAACTTGGGTAAACGTGTATTTACCTGGTACTGAATGCTCTGTTATCGCACTTATACTCTTGTCAACCACAGTCTGTAGCAGTTGAAGGCTATGAGACAGGTGAGCATGCTCCTGGACTGAAGCTGAGAGGGACAGGAGCATACAGAGCTGCCCACCACATAATTAAGGTATGCGAAAACAAATGTATTCAGTTAAAGTATCAAAGGAGCTTTGCAACGTTAAACTGAAATATATTTATATGTATATATAATATATACATTTTTTTTTTCATAGGCACATTCAAAAGTTTGGCACACTTATGATACACAATGGAGGGGAAAACAAAAAGGTAAAGAAGATGGCATCGCTGAAAGTGACTTAATTCAGTATTTGCTTCTCAACAGTACTGTCTATTTGAGTGTTGAGAGCTGCTGTTCACATCTGCAGGTCTGGTTGGCATCTCTCTGTCCGGTGATTGGGGAGAGCCGGTGGACATCAGCAACCAGAAAGACATTGAAGCAGCTGAGAGATATGTCCAGTTCTACCTGGGCTGGTTTGCCACACCCGTCTTTCATGGAGACTACCCTCAAGTAATGAAAGACTTCATTGGTAAGTTGAATTGCAAGCAGGTAATCAATTAAGTAAAATTAGTTCTTGTTAGCTAATGAGTTATGTAATCACTACTTTTGACTGTGTATGCAGGGAGGAAGAGTGTCCAGCAGGGCCTCGGGACATCTCGACTGCCTTCATTTTCCCCCCAAGAGAAGAGCTACATCAAGGGGACCTGTGACTTCTTGGGCATTGGCCATTTCACCACCCGCTACATCACCCAAAAGAACAACCCATCAAGTCGCAGTAGCAGCAGCTACTTCGCTGACCGTGATCTGGCTGAGCTGGTTGACCCACGATGGCCTGACCCCGGGTCAGAGTGGCTCTACTCTGTGCCCTGGGGTTTCAGACGTCTGCTCAATTTTGTCAAGGTGACTCCTGGTGTATAGTGAACAGTAAATGATGTACAGTTGGCTTGTTGACGTTTGTTCTTACCTGAAATGATCATGGCACACTGCGACGCTAGTTAAATTACATAAATGTAATTCACTGTACACTATTACGATTTGTTTCCTATTCAGACTCAGTATGGAAACCCAATGATTTATGTGACTGAGAACGGAGTCTCTGAGAAGATGTTATGCACAGAGCTGTGTGATGACTGGAGGATACAGTATTACAAAGACTACATCAATGAGATGCTAAAAGGTGAATGGGCTCATGCATATTGTACAACAAAATTAAAAGACAGTGTGTCACATCAGACCGGTCATTAGGAGGTAATTAATCTAATCCAACCTATGTGTTCCCCGTGGTGTCATGCAGCTATCAAAGATGGAGTCAATGTGAAGGGCTACACCGCGTGGTCCCTGCTGGACAAGTTTGAGTGGGATGAAGGCTACTCTGAGAGGTTTGGCTTGTACTATGTGGACTTCAGGAATAAAAACAAGCCTCGCTATCCCAAAGCTTCTGTTCAGTTTTACAAACGCGTCATCACCTCCAATGGATTTCCCAATCAGAGAGAGGTGAGAGAAATCGGCAGGTGCAAAGACCTACTTCTAATCCTTCTTCTGGTGGATTCTTACACATAACATTGCAAATACGGATAAACTAATTTCCTATGGAATGAAGACGTTTGGATTAATTTGTTAATAATTTACTATGTCACAGAAATAAGAAAGTGATGATATAACTGCATTGCACACCCTCACAGGTTGAGAACTGGAGGAGGAAGGCGATTGAGACCTGTTCTTCTAGCAACCAGCTCCTAGCGGCAGGTTAGTTCATCTCTAACATCCCTGACTTTGTTTATCAGAGATCAGAGGTGAACAGCTAGCTGGGGTAAACAAATAAAGAGTCTGTCCTAAATATCAAAAACCTGACAACAGAATTTACTGCAGATCTATAATTATAATTTGACTTGAATATGTGTCGTTGTTCTTTAGGCACCTCAGAAAACACATGAACAAATTCTTAGTTAAATAAGAAGGCTGGAAATATAAAACAGAATGAACAAAATCTCCTACAGAGTATCTGAGATATCTTCTTTGTTTGCCCCTCCAGCTAGAAGAAAATCCAAGGAACATGCAGAAATGCCAAAGGTTTGGCCAGTGCATGATGAAGTTTAGAACTTTATGGTATATGTCTTCCTTTAATGTAATTTCTTATTTGTGTTGCTTTGTGATTGTGTGGTTTTAAATATGACTAACAGAGTTTAGGCCTCTGCAGTTTAACACTAACACATGCATTTGAAATGAGCTCATGCTCCCTCTAAACAGTGTGAAACCGCTTCTTCATTTAACTGAAGTTTTACTAGTTTGCTTAAATCTAATTTGCAACCTAGAACAGCACTTTTGGTTTCACAGCAGCTTTGGCAAAAACTCAGTAAACATAAAGCTGATCAGTGGACTTTTGCGCACAGGATGTTTCATAAAGCAGAACGGTAAATTAAACCAGATAACATTACACCAGTACTTAAGTAATAATAAATAAGATTTCAGAAGATAAGATTTTTAAAAAGTTATCTGGCTGTGGTACTAATGCTGCTTTCTGAAATATCCCCCAGTAGCACAATGCAGTTCTCAAAGGGTTAAAGTGCCGTTAATCAACTCTGAGTCATTTCTCTTTCTTTATTAGAGGAACAGCGGAGTACTGCTGCCAATATTCTAAGACTTATACATGGTAAGGAATCACTCATGCTCACTGTAAATCAGATAAAGGATGATTTGATTTAGGGGAAAAAAATATTAACCCTTTGAGTGCTGTACTTAAGCATCATTACTTGCTTCATGAGCAGTGTCTGAGCTATACAATAATGCTAGCAAGTTGTTAATGTGTGTGTGTATGTGTATTTGTGTGTGTGTGCTTTGCAGACCCTTTGACCAGCCACATGGAGATGGTAACTGAGATCGTTGTTCCCACTGTGTGCACACTCTCTATTTTGCTCAGTGCCATCTTCCTCATGTTCCTGCTGCGGAGGCGGAACTAGAAAGTGTGCATGTTTACAATAACATCAACACACATATACACACAGGCACACAAATACTCATATTATAAGTGCATCCTTTCTTTAATGGATCGTGTGTGAATATAAATACATTATTTGAAATGAATTTCAAAAGAATTACTGACTTCATTAAATTTGACGTGTAAACAATGTTTGCTGTAAAATCACTGGTTGAGCCTATAATCATGGACTTAGTATCAGACACTTAAAAAGTGTGGATAGCCCTGCAACAAGCTGGATTTACTTATTAAAATATTGCTGTGGAATATTACCATTGCAAACAGACCTTATGATATACTGGATTTTGTGTTTTCATTTGGTTAAAACTGGGAGTTTTTCAGCAATAAGCATGTGCCATCTACTCTATCGAATGTAAAAAGTCAGCAAAATGATAGAATAGGATTATAAAGATATAGTTAGAAAAACCCTTCCAGGGTCACAGAACATATATACAAAGAATTGAAAGATGTTTAACAAAATATTAAACAAAACTACAGTATATTAACAGAAAACCCTCTCGTGCTCACTGTAGGTTTTGTGATGCAGTATAAGTCTATCTGGTATTTCAAAACATGTTAATTACTAATGACAATATTACATATGAAAATAAACATCTCCTGTTGTTGTTCAGTTGTGCTCTGTGTAAATTCATGCAAAGTTGATAAGACTGCAGCACAACAAGGTGGAGAAGAATGCGGGATCTTCACTGTCTCCATTCACTGTTTCATTGGAGTATTCTAAAGACAGAACAAAAACAAAATAAAATTGTAAAATTGCTTTACTGGGGCAGTTACTACTTGGAAATATATGGCATGCATATTTGGTGCAGTACATGAAGATCACCTGTTTCAAAGATGACATGATCAACCAGTGGTCTGTCACTGAGCTGTAAGGATGTCCTGACCTCACGAGGACCGTGGCCACTGGACACCTCAACTCCCCACAAAAGTGGCTGCTCTCTGAAACATTATGGATGAGACAAAGGCCCATGTTAACATTTTGAAGCTGCCTCTAAAATGCAGAGTGTGTGGTCTGATCACAAGAACGCACCTGTAAATACTGTTGTGAATGCATAAAAAAGCCACTGACGATATAGTGCACTTGAATAACTAATGCTGTATTTGGCTGCAGTATGTGGCCACAATAGAAAACAGTGTGAAAAGAGATGGGCTCCTGACTGAGCACAACCAATCTCATGAACACACCTGAATATGGTGGACTTGCTTCTAATAATAAAAAACAGTTGTTGCAATTTAAAACCAAATTTGAGTCGGGAGGCGAAATCCAATCACAGAAATCCTTCCTTCTATTTCACTTTTTTGACACTTCAGTACATGAAAGAAATCACTAGTTTGTGTTAAAACATGATTGAGGAAAAATTTCACAATTTCATTTACAATTTTCTTTGAACAAAATGAAGCAGTTTGTATGCAAATGGTTGCATGACTTACTTCTGGTAGAAATGGCTGATTAGGGCTGGTTTGATTTGGAGTTTGAATTCATGTTCTTCGTCATATGGGTATGTTTTGTAGTGCTGCAAACACGATCTATGAGAGAGAAAAGGAAAACAGATATTCAGTTGTCTACTTTAACATCATCAATAGAAACATACAATTTGCACACTAATACATCACAGGAAAAAGCCAACTTTATTTACTGTGTGAGAAGGAACAGCCGGTCATAGGGCAAAGCCAGGAATGTGCTGCAAGTCACAATTATTTCCAGCAGATGGTGCAGTTTCCTGAGTCGGATCACTTGCTCCTGTAGATCAACCTCCGTGCTCAGGTAGTAACACTGAGGAGTAAAATACTCAAACTCAGTATTCTGTTAAGAGTCATTTGAAAACTGTTGTCAGCAAAAGAGTCTTATGCTTACCAAGTGGTTTAGAGTTGTCAATTCTTCACCTGAGAAAAACAAACAAACAAACCATATAAAAAATAGTTTAATGTGGTAATAAGTGAGGTAATTATTACTCTAAAAACAAAAAACAAGTTCAGGGATTCAGAATGATAAGTTAGAGGTTACCAATGAGATAGTTAATGTAATCTTTTCTCATCTTGTCCAGACCCATCTCTAGCAGCATGTGGACAGGAGTGACACCTGTGAGAGACACATGATCGATCTGCTGGTGGTAGGACTGCAGGATGAGCTTGCTGAGGGAGCTACTGCTGTCTCTGTGAATCTGGGGGAAGTCACACAAAACAAAGCAAAAAAATAAAAAATTCTTCACACACACACACACACACACAACAAACTTCAGTCTTTTCTCAGTGGTCAACTGTTTTCAGAAGCTGCATCATCCCATACCCACGGTTTGATGTCTCCATATCTCAGAGCTTCAATGACCAGTTTCAGACAGTCTCCAATGTCTTGATATGAAATCACACCTGTGATGAAAAAAAAAGGAATATAATATGATGGTCACTGCCTGTTTATAATGTTAAATCAAATGAAACTTTGATGAAGAAAAGGACTCACTCTTTCTCATGCGAACCCACAACTGTTCCACAAAATCCAAATCGCCTCGCTCCAAGAGAGAGTTGAAAATAGGAGTGTCTGTGTCAGACTTCGGCTTTGTGTTCTTTAAGAAAAGATGGGGAGAAAAGATGAAGATGCTGGAAAGCTACCACATGTATCTCTTGGACCATCTCTTGCTTTTAACACCATCATACCTCGGCTGTTTTTGCAGTCTGATCCTGTAGTGTCTTTGCAGTGTCGTGAAGCTCTAAAAGAAGAATTTAAAAAAAGAAGAAGAAAATATTCATCTTAATTACCTACTAGTGGTAAGTCATAGAAAAGGTGAATTTATTGAACAAAACAGAAACCTTCTAGGTAGGCCTTGGTAAGATTTACAGCTGACGTGCTTTCCAAAGGTTCCATCCATTCAGTCTCACCAGTTCTCAAACCATCAGCAAGAGTCTGAAATAACAGGAATCTGACATATTTACTTGTTTATTTGTGTATTAATACTTACGGTCATTCATCTCAGATCACTGTGGGACACAAACCTGAAGAAACTCTAGCTCCCTGTACATCTCGAACATCGGGCTTCTCATATCTCCGCTGGTAACTTTGATATTCTGCATGTGAACAAATATAAACAGGAAGAATCACAGTTTGTGCGGAATGATAAAGCTTCTATTCTCTTGCTGAATAACTGCACAGTGATTATGTCTCAAAATATAGACATATAAAAAGTGTTTTATGGTCGAGGAGAAGAATATTTTACATGTATAATATCAGCTTACCAGTGTGGCTGTAGAAGACAGGGGTGGGGTCTCAAGGATACTCTCCACATGACTCCATTTGAAATCCACTGTCACAGAACTCTGTGACTCAATCACTGTGTTTTCAACGACAGTGGAGCCAAACAAGTTGAACCTGGCACTGCCTTTAATCGCCATCTGGAAGCGCAGGCAGATGGTAAGTGAAGGAATATTCATTTACACTGAATTGAAAAAGAGGATGCACACTCACTTACCGAGGATGGGTGATGCCTTTTCTTGTGCTCTTGTTTAAGCTCATCTAAGGTAAGGAGAGATTTTTTGTCCACTGTTGAGCCTAGCAACATTCAAATGGGAATAAAACAAAATTTCAGAAACTTAAAAATCACACAGGAATTAATTATAAACAAATATTGGCTATAGTAATAATGTTTGTTATTCAAAGAGGTATGGAGCACTTAAGCAATACCTTTGCAGGTAACGGAGTATAATTTTACACCAGATACTTTGTTGCCCACACAGACCGTTTCAGCCCCAAACCAGGTTGTTCTAGCAGGATCAGACATGTCACATCGCACCCACAGAGGGTGTAAGGCAGGGTTGTTGTCAACAGCTGACACATTAGCATTTTGAGATAATGTGTACCAAGACAGCAACTGCCTATAAAAAGAGAGAGAAGATACTACATTTTGATATATCAGCTATAGGGCTACACTTGCTGCATTTGGATGAAAAATTAAGCTTCTTGGCATTGGCTACCTTGCTTTCATGATTGTGAGCGGCTCTGGTCCCAGTTCTGTCTTGATTACATTGACATCGGCATCAGGATCAGCATCAGCGCAGTTTGAATACTCAGCTATTTCTTGATCATCATTTATTTTTGGAACCTGGTGAAATCCAGAAATAAAAACATGGTCCAATAAGGAGCATTAATGAGAGGATTGAAAAGGTTGTATGGAAAAAAGGCACCTGTGGAGGAACTTTGAGTTATATCTATTGCTTTTACAAGTATGCATGGCTTGTAATACAGAATAATGAGAACTGAACTGAAATGCAGGGCTAGTTGAGTATACTCATCTTATTTAAGCTATTAAACAAATGTTCCCGTTTCCAAACCAACATTAGCATGTCAAAAAATCTTAAGCAACTGGTGCTGTATCAGAAGAACTATGCGCCAAGAAACCATAAACTCCTAAAATACAAGATGATGTTCATGTTCATTTATTTAGTTTACATATTACACTATTGTACACTATATGTCTAGTGCTTGCAGACACCCTGAATATGTTTAATGAGTCACAGTATTACCATTACTCACAGCTTTTTGACAGATGAAGACTGGCTGGCTGCCACAGTACAAATTCACCACACCGATTCTGTCTCCATTCATCTTTAGTATTTGGATGTCCTCCTGAAATCCATCAGATACTGTATCAGCATTAGGGCTGAAACTAAGGATTATTTTTTTTATCATGGACTAATCTGCAGACAATTTTCTTTATTAATCATTTGAACTTTAAAACGTAAGAGTGAAACATTTCCTTCACAATATCCTTGAGCACAAAGTAATGTCATTAAATGTCTTGTTTTGTCTGACCAACAGTCCAAAACCGGAAAATATTCGATCAACTATAACGTAAGACAAGGAAAAGCAGCCAATTCTTTTTGCTTTAAAAAATACTTATCATAAATCTGGCCGTTACAGTACTTGAGATCGACCACATGAACAGCTTTAATCAACACTATTACTGTAGCGTAGACAGATACACCAAACAGTGACAGATTTTACAAAATGAAATTACCTCATATGTATATGTATCGTTGCTTGCTTCATCTTGAAGAGATCTGTGGCGCAACACAGCAGAAATTATCCAGCGAATTAACGAAACAAGACACTTATTTGGTAGTTTAGTACAAATCACTCTTTCTGTACTAACGTTTTAGCTTAAACTTGCGTTAATGTTAGCTAAAGAAGCTAAGTTAGTAACATTATACATCTAAAACTCACCGAAGAACATTGAAAAATTCCTTGGCGCTAGATATCACCTTTGAGCCCATCGCAAAATTGTACAATAGACCTCCTGTTACAGAGCGAACTATGTGGATAAAATAGAGAAAAGAAGTTAACAGAGTTTAATTTAAAGAGATCAAACTTCGCACTGCTATTGTTGACGTTTTGACAGTCGCGCGCTAACTCAAATGTTGACGTCATGAGGTCACAGGTTATCATTCTGTCGTCATAAATTTGTATGAAACAAATGAAATTAAATAAAGTCCGATAAGTGTCCACATGAGCTTATATAAACGAATGAGTAAGGCTAAGCAAATAAAAAAATAAACTGATTAAACTGAAAAAAAAAAAATTCTATGAAAGTAGTCCGGTCTTTACGCCTATCCTTCGCCAACATGGAGTAAAGAAATAGTCCCAGCTATGGCATCGAGTATTTTGTTTAGTCTTGAGAATTTGACTAAAACTAGTAAATTAATAATTTACACACTGATTCACGTTTTATCAAGTGTTTTTTTCTGGGGTAAGCCAAAGAATTGTCGAAATAACGCTTTTGACGGAAGTGGTATGCTCCGAGGCGGATGCATAAAGCATTCAAGGTAATTCACTAACTTCCTTTTTACTGTGGCCGCCATACCGTCAGGAGCGTGGTTCCCGGCGAGCCGAAAAATCATTTACGAAAATGGTGAGAAATTACACTCGTATTGTTGTTAACATGGTATAGGACACGGGTGTGTTATCTTGAAGTTAGTACTAAACAGATCTAGCTGTATTTTCTGTCTTTGGAAAGATTAAATTCAGATTTACCAGAGCAGTGAGTTGGAAAGCTCCCGGCTAGCGAAGCTAACACGAGGAGCCATTTTGGACGAGCTGCTTTAGTTCAGCAGTTACACGTGTGGTTTCCCTTCGGTGGCCGACCTCTTACAGTCAGCTAGACTAAGTCGCGTGTTTTCATTGCGACTGTAGCATATTTTTTTCTGTATGATCCAATTCTTACGTTACACTCTTCATGCCCTGAACATTTTAACATAGTTAACAATGAGTGGTCGAGTAAACTTAAAGATTGGCTTACGAGATCATGTTAGCATAATCGAGCTAAGCTAAGGCCTACAGCCGCAGTCATATCGGAGATTTTGTCAAAATGCGTAATATTTATGAGCCTAATAACTTATATCATCGCTGTTAAATGCGAGTAACATTAACTGCTGGCGTTTCATCAGACTGATTCAATGATGGTAGTTTATCTGCCCGCACACGTTGGACGTGATTGATTGTCCAAAACAAGTTAAGTAACGCATTATAGGACCATTGCATCTTACAGGATATGC